AAGAATTGATGCTTTTGAACTGTGGTGTTGGAGAAGACTCTTGAGAGTCCCTTGGACTGCAAGGAGATCCAACCAGTCCATCCTAAAGGAGATCAGACCTGGGTGTTCATTGGAAGGACTGATGTTGAAGCTGAAACTCCTATACTTTGGCCACCTCATGTGAAGAGTTGACCCACTGGAAAAGACCCTGATGCTGGGAGGGATTGAGGGCAGGAGGAGAAGGGGATGACAGAGGATGAGATGGCTGGATGGCATCACCGACTCAATGGACATGAGTCTGAGTAAACTCTGGGAGTTGTTGATGGATAGGGAGGCCTGGCGTGCTGCGACTCATGGGGTCGCAAAGAGTTGGACACGACTGAGCGACTGAACTGAACTGAGCTGAGAGGGGTGGGATGGGGTAGAGTGTGGGATGGGGTAGAGGGTGGGAGGGAGGTTCAAGAGGGAGGGGACATATGCATAATTACGGTTGATTCACGTGTGTATGACAGAAACCAACACAACATCATAAAGCAATTACCCTCCAATTTAAAGAAAAAAAAGGCTCAGGTTCAGTACATACTCACTGAATTCAACAAAGGCCCTGACACTTTCCTGGGGATTTTTGTTTGTTTGTTTTTTTGTTTGTTTTTTTTTTTTTTTTGGCCCGTTGGAAACACACACAAATATTTATAACAGTGTCTGGCAATAATGCTCTTTTCTATCTTTTCTCAGTGGAAAGTTCTGACTGGCCAGGGCTAACAGCAAGAACTTTGATGAAGCAAGAACAGATGAAGGGAGCATGGGTTACCCACTCTAGCATCCTCACTTGGGCCCTAGAAAAATCCCAAAATTAATTCCTCAATGATTTGAAGTAGATGTAACGCAAAGATAATTCTTTCCACCAAACTCAATTTTTTTTTTCTTTACTATATCTCGTAGTGCTTGGAGCTTGGCTATAAAGTCACTATGTGGGTTCAGATTCCATCTTCATCATTTTTAACTGTGACCATGGACTAGCTGGCTTAGCCTCTCAGTAACAGGGTGGCCCTTGGAAGAGCTAATTGAATTAATGCATGCAGAGACTTAGAACTTGCCTGGTGTGTCAGAAGATTCCAAATCTCTTGCTGCTGCATTTATGATGATGATGCTACTTCTTGTTCTTTCTTCAAGAAGCTCTGGTCTGGTTTTTTGTTTTGTTTTTTATCAAAGCAGTATAGTTGACTTACTATTGTGTAGAAGTACAACACGACTTACTATGTTGTGCTAGTCTGCTGTACAGAAAAGTGACTCAGTTTTACATATATTCTTTTCTAAATATTCTTTTATGGCTTATCCCAGGAGGTCGGATACAGTTTCCTGTGTTATTACAGTAGGACCTTGTTGTGTAGCATCCATTCTAGATATAATAGTGTGCATCTCTAGCCACAGATTCCCAGTCCATCTCTGTGCCTCCCTTGTGCCCCTTGGCAACCACAAGTCTGTTCTCTCTGTATGTGAGTCTGCTTGTGTTTCATAGATAGGTTCATTTGTGCCATATTTTAGATTCCACACATAAGTAATATCATATGGTATTTGTCTTTCTTTGTCCAACTTACTTCACTTAGTATGATAATCTCTAGTTGCATCCAGGTTGCTGTAACTGGCATTAGTTCATTCTTTTTTATAGCTGAGTAGTATCCCATTGTATATATGCACCACATTTTCTTTTTTTTTTTTCCATTTATTTTTATTAGTTGGAGGCTAATTACTTTACATCATTACAGTAGTTTTTGTCATACATTGAAATGAATTAGCCATGGATTTACATGTATTCCCCATCCCGGTCCCCCCTCCCACCTCCCTCTCCACCCGATCCCTCTGGGTCTTCCCAGTGCACCAGGCCCGAGCACTTGTCTCATGCACCCAACCTGGGCTGGTGATCTGTTTCACCCTAGATAATATACATGTTTCAATGCTGTTCTCTTGAAACATTTTCTTTATCCATTCATCTGTCAGCAGACATTTAGGCTGTTTCCATTTATTAACTATTGTGAATACTGCTGCTATGAATATAGGGGTGCATGTATCTTTATGAATTATAGTTTTGTCTGGGAATATGCGCAGGAGTGGGATTGCTGGATCACGTGATAATTCTGTTTAGCTTTCTGAGGAACTTCCAGTCTGTTTTCCATAGTGACTGCACCAACTTATATTTCCACCAACAGTGTAGGAGCTGTGGTTTCTTTTAATGTGGGTTTTAAGGATGACCACGTTAAACTTCTACATGAAATAATTGTGTAAGAATGTTCAAGTATAACAGAAGATGATTATCAAAAGTCAAGGACACATCATCAAAAAGAAAAAATGCTCCATTATTTTATTTTTTAAAAGGTAGGTCTGGAAAAGGGCACATCAGCTCCAGAAAAAGCCTATTTGAATGTTAAAGGTCTGGACTTTGAATGAAGAGATACAGGAATTGAACCTGTATCTCTTAGGTCTCCTGCACTGGCAGGCAGGTTCTTCATCTTTAGCTCCACCTGGGAAGCCCTTGAATGAGTCTACTCAATCTTTTTTGTCTCAGACCCCTCACTATAAACCAGTAGTAACTGTACCTGGTTTGACTCTGTCAGAGGGATATTATAAGGATTATGTGAAAATATAGACCTTCCCCGGTGGCACCAGTGGTAAAGAACCCGACTGCCAATAAGCAAGACTGAAACATGGGTTTGATCCCTGGGTCAGGAAGATCTCCTTGAAGAGGGCATGGCAGCCCACTCCAGTATTCTTCCTTGGAGAATCCCATGGAGAGGGGAGACTGGGCTACAGTCTATAGGTCAAAGAGTCGGACACGACTGAAGAGACTTGGCACCCACACATGCACTCGAAAATATAAAAAGATTTGTATTGCAAGAAATACTACTTCTATATTAATTTCTGTTAGATATAAGATCATGAATTGAGTTCATATAATAGAAAAATGGCCAGCTGAGAGTCCAGAGTCTTGGTTTAGGAGTCATGTAATGTTGGGCAAGTTGATATTCAAGCTCTCCTAGTAACTTGAGATCTACCTGTAGATCAAATTAGATTACCTGTAAGAAAGTGCCCTGCAAGCTGGAAAGATTCTTGTCAACATAAAATGTTTCCACACTCATTACTTATATAATTTAAGCATGCAACAATGGTAGCAGCTGTTGCCAAAATATATATTTTGAAGAACTGATGTCTCAAAGGGAAATTCCCTTGGACTGTGTTTTATGTGTGTTGCAATTGTGATAATATCATGAATTTATCAGTTGCTTTTTTTCCTAATTAGGACGTTCCTTTCTTCAGTGAATCAATATGAATGTGTTTCTCGACACCTCCATATTTTTGGGGAAATTTCTATATTATTTTTTAGAATCTTTATTTTACAAGATAGTTTCCAAGAAGAAAAAGGACGTTACTGGAGAGATTGTCCTTATAACAGGAGCTGCAAGTGGACTTGGGAGGTTATTGGCTATCAAATTTGCCAGGCTTGGAGCCATTTTAGTTCTATGGGACATTAACGAAGAAGGCAACATGGAAACGTGTAGAATGATCAAAGAAAGGCAGGATGCAAACGTATTTGCCTATACGTGTGACTGTAGTAATAGACAAGATGTCTACAGAGCTGCTGACCAGGTAAGCTGACTGGTGTTCTTAGTTCTATGCCCAAGAAAAGGACTGTGTCTAATATGTGCTTTTGCAAAAAGAAGAGGAGGAATTTTGTCATACAGTTCTTTTCCCATGCCTCTTGCTTGATTCTGCATGTCAGAAATCTGACTTTGTGAGGACTTCCCTGGCAGTCCAGTGGTTAGAACTCCACTTCTAGTGCAGGGGTCATGAGATCCCACATATTAGCAGCCCCCCCCAAAAAAAGAACCTGAATTTGTGACCTCCAGAAAAGGAAACAGAAGAAAACAATGCAACTGTGAATTTGATGAGCCTTTTGAGTTGTTGCCAGCTGCTTTTCTGATAACTCATTTGCCACCAGAAGTTAGTAGAAACTAGAACTAGCCCTGACTAGCTACCTGTCCTCTCTAGGTCCTTGTTTCTTTATCAGTAAAATGAAAAGATTGGGCCAGATGATCTTCAAGAGGACAGTTTTAGGTCTCTGTATTGTATGATTCCAGTGTACACCCACTGTCACCTAGTACTGAGGGTAGAAAGTAGGGAGGATGGGGGAAGAAGCTTATTTCTACACTACATTTCCCCTTAGATTTAACTTATGGATATTCATTCTAACTTCACACTTGTCGTTGTTGTTGTTCTCCAACTCTTTGCTACCCCATGGACTGCAGCACGCCAGTCACTAAGCACTGATAAATGCTTTAATTATAATAGGTACTTATTGTGTAATTACCATACCCTCTAACAACAGTCCAGCCCTCATGTGGTGTTTTAGCCAGATGCCTTGGGTGAGGTGCAGTGAAGATAAACACAGACCGAGAGAGAGAGAGCAGAAAGTGGTTCACAATTCCATGAGACTCACAGTCCCCTGGGGAGGACACGGCACGCCACACAGGGCCTCCAGGGGAAACACTGGGTGGGTCAGGAGGCAGGTAGAGAAAAGGCATGAATCAGAGCCTGCACTGTGGTTTCCACAAGTCAGAAAGGTGAGGCAGGATCAACCAGCTTAGATGGATTAAGAGGAACCATGTGAGCAGGATCTGAAGCATAGGGGCTGTTCCTAGCCCTCTGATACCTGACACTGGGGCCATTAGGACAGTGTACATACGGTAGCCTATGGGCTTCCTAGGTGGTGATAACGATAAAGAACCCACCTGCCAATGCAGGAGATGTAAGAAACACAGGTTCAATCCCTGGGTTGGGAAGATCCCCCATAGGAGGGCATGGCAGTAATCATTCTTGCTTGAAGAATCCCATGGACAGAGGAGCCTGGCAGGCTACAGTTCATGGGGTTGCGAACAGGCAGACATGACTGAAGCAACTTAGCACACACACATGGTAGCCTACAGCCTTCCCCAGTGGGCAAGGTGCTGGGCATGTAACCTTAATGGGTTGATCAAGATGGGGAATGCCCTGGCCACTAGCCAGAGCCTCAAAACCAAGTGAAGACAGAATAAGACAAAACACTATATTACAAGTAGCTACTGTTCTGAGCACCTTATGCACATAATAACTCCTTTAACCAACACACACAACCCTCTTGGGAGTATACAGTTAGCATCCTTGTCATTTACAAATGAGGAAACTAAGCAGTAGAAAGTGTGTGCAAGTTGCCCAAGATGCTGAAACCGGTCATGGGCAGAACCAAACATGCCCAGGACAGGAGTGGGGCGGTCAAAGTCGTTCTCATCCTCTGCTATGTGACCTGAAATTGTCCATGCAACTCAGTGTGATGACAGAATCTCTGAAGGGCTGTGACCTGAAATTGTCCATGCAACTCAGTGTGATGACAGAATCTCTGAAGGGCTGTCCGTCCCTCTGGCAATCTAGTAGACACTTATCTTCTGAACCCTCCTCTTCGCTTTTCTGCTTCAAAGTCCTTTTTCAATTGTTCATTGATTTATTTTTGGCTGCACTGGGTCTTTGTTGCTGCGTGTAGGTTTTCTCCAGGAGCAGCAAGTGAGGACTGCTCTCTCATTGCAATGTACGGACTTCTCATGGTGGTGACTTCTCTTAAAGCAGAACACGGGCTCTAGGGTGCAGGCTCAGTAGTTGTGACGGATGGGCTTAGTTCCTTCCAGGCATATGGGATCTTCCCAGACCAGGGATCAAACCTGTGTCCCCTGCGTTGGCAGGCAAGGATTCTTCACCACTGGACCACCAGGGAAGTGCTTCAGCTTCAGTTACTATTGCCTCCTTCTTTGTTGGGATCCCATAGGATCTGTTCTTTATAATCCATCACCAACTAACGAGGATATAACCTAGTGATTATATATAGATCCCAGGGGTATTGTAGAACAGAACAAGTGGAATCACAATCAGGTCTTATGTTGCCAGAGCAAGGTGGCAGGGGCTACTCAGGGAAGGAGCTTGTGGGGGAGTGGCGGTCCCAGGACCACCTCTAAGTCACAGATCAGGGCTCTGAAATTTGCAGCGCCATCATATATAATCTTTTGTTTTTCAATTAATTTATTTTTATTGGAGGATAATCACTTTACAATATTGTGATAATTTTTGCCATACATCAGCATGAATCAGCCACAGCTGTACATGTGTCCCCTTCATCCTAAACCTCCCTCCCCATTCTCTCCCCACCCCATCCCTCTGGGTTGTCCCAGATAACCAGCTTTGGGTGCCCCATTTCATCCATCCAACTCGCACTGGTCATCTATTTTCTATATGGTAATGTATATGTTTCAGTGCTATTCTCTGAAAGCACCCCACCCTCACCTTCTCCTGCTGAGTCCAAAAGTCTGTTCTTTACATCTGTGTCTCCTTTGCTGCCCTGCATGTAGGATCACCAGTACCATCTTTTTAAATTCCATATATATGCGTTAATATACAGTATTTGTCTTTCTCTTTCTGACTTACTTCACTCTGTATAACAGGCTCTGGGTTCATATATAATCTTTAGAGTAACGTGGGCATGATAACATTGTCCACTCTACTGATGACAGGAAGCCAAGGCATAGAGAAAATTAGTAACAGAGTAGAACTGGGGTTCCAATCTTCTGGAATCAAGACCCCTGCCACATCCCTAGCAGTGACCCACCAATGTGTCAGCAGTAAAGACACCCTCAACAGTCCTCTTCCTTCTATCAAAAGCACTGTAATTTCCATCACCCCCAATGAATCTTTCCCTCTTGTTTAAAATTTCCTTGCTGTCTAGTAGAAAATGAGGCCAAAAACTTTAATCAAAAATTGTCTTTTCACCATTTGAATGTATCTTAGACTTTTCTTTTCTCACAGTCCTGTAAATAGAATTCTTCTAAGCCAACCATTTTATTAATATCAACTCTTCTGTATAATTTCAGTTACTTATCAACTCCCAAGAAACCCAAATATTAATACTACTGCTAGACTTAATCTACCAGAATATCAACAAGCCATGGACATTATCCAGATCCCTAAAATTCATAGGAAACTTCAATAACAGCATTCTAAAGGGCTCAGTAATGGGAGTTCCCTAGAGGTCAGTGGTTAAGACTCCAGGCTTCCACTGTAGGGGGCTTGGGTTTGATCCCTGGTCAGGGAGCCAAGATCCCATATGCCATGGGGCATAGCCAAAAAGACAATGATAATATTAAATTTTTTTAAATAAAGGGCTCAGTAATTAATTTCCCAAAATCTGACTGAGGTAACTTTCTCATCTCCACCACAGAAACCCAGTATACAAACAAATTGTTTTTGTTAGAATAACCAGCCTCATGCTTTATTCCCAAATGTCCAGGTCCATTTATTAGTATTTACATTTATTTAGTATATGTGTGTGCATGTTCACATATGTGAGATTTGTTTGTTACAGAAGTAATCATCTTGGCCACAGAGAAGTAAATCTAGGTAAAAAGAACTTTTATTTTCTTGTATGTGTGTCCAAACTGAGTAAGAATCACTGTGATTCTTCTCAAAAGCCAAAAGCTATCCTTTGGCAAAATCTTAACTTCTGAGAACCTCTGTTTCCTCATCTATAAACTGGGATCAGAATGCTTTCCCAAACTCTCAGTGAAAATTAAATCCTATTACCTAGATAAAGTTCCTATTAGCCCTGGGTCCCTAAGACTGAGGGATCTTCTTGGACAGGATGATGGTGACCATTAGGTTTTTCTTAAATATTTAAGAATGCCTTACACCAAAGATTTCCCATCCTCCAGAGGCCCAAGTTCCTCCCCAAGTTGGTCTAAGATCAAGCACTTGCTCACACTGGCTCCCTCGTCAAGCCAAAAGCTCACATCTCTTGGGTGTTTGCCCGTGTACTGCCCCTCTCCAAAGCAGAGGGGCCCAATCACTCTGCCCAACATTGGTGCAGCAGCAATAACCCTTCCTTTCAGAGCCTGTTCAACTTGATGACATCAGGAGCAGTTTTTTCCTAATATCTCCCCACCACGTGATCTGGAAGCCTCAACACAGAGCAGTAGGTGGGGCCAGGACAACCAGGTCAAGGCAGTAGTGCTTCCTGTTCGGAAAAAAGAACAGATTGTCGTGACAGCACCGAAGATACAGTTGAGGGCAAACACGTCTTCAAATCGTCATTTGAACATGCGTCATGCTTTACGTCATGGTTTGCCCCAGGCCAGCTTTATCAAGGTCACTGCAGTGTTTCCTGGAGCCCAGCTTCCTCCGAGTAGGGCTGGTGGCAGTAGGTTCCATAAGCAGATGAGGTAAGCAATTCAGAAGGAAGGGTGAAGGAAGACCCTCGGGACACAGCAGGGGTAGCACAGCTGGAAACTCAGGGAAATAACTGGGCACAGACAATAATTAGACCTGGGGAGGTCTTTTTGACAGAGGTCACAGGCCCACAGACACCTGTGATCCCACAGGGGTGGGATGAGCTCCTGCACCTGGTCACAGAGGAGTCAGGAAGATGGCACCTACAGAAGTAACTGCCACGCACACCAGGTTGAAGAGAGATCCAACCACCATCCAAAGGGAGACATTGAGAGTCACACAGGGAAACAGAGACAGCACTCTGCAGTACCCCTGGCATTCACCTCTGGCAAAAAGGGAGAGTAACATGACAAAAATAGGAGGCAGAGAAAATACACTGCAACACCCAGTCATCTCTGCACACACAAAGCAAAGCTGGCAAATCAATGTGTTTTTTTTTACACAATCAATCATAGAGCTACTTTAAGCTTGCTGAATTTCTATGAGAGAGATAAACTAACTAAGCTTAAAGAAACTACCTGAATAAAGTAATAATAATAATAATGGCATGGAAAAATAAGTAACCTAACTTAAATGAATTATTTGCCTCACTTCTGCATAGGTTAAGAAGGAAGTGGGCAACGTGACTATCCTCATTAACAATGCAGGGGTCGTGACGGGAAGAAAGTTCCTCAAAACTCCAGACCACATGGTGGAAAGATCATTTCTTATCAACGCCATGTCTCACTTCTGGGTAAGTCTTCTTTCTTTTTCATTTTGTTTTGTTGGTGAATATGAGAATTTCATGCAGTTCTATAAGTGAAAGTCACTCAGTCGTATCCAACTCTTTTCGACCCCATGGACTGTAGTCCATGGAATTCTCTGGGCCAGAATACTGGAGTGGGTATAGCTTTCCCTTCTCCAGGGGATCTTTCCAACACAGGGATCAAACCCACATCTCCCACATTGACGGCAGATTCTTTACCAGCTGAGCCACAAGGGAAGTCCGAATTCTATAAACAACTAGTCAACCATTTATCTGTTGATAGACCATTTATGAGTTCCCATTGATAGACTAAGCAGAATTCTTGGACTATCCAAAGTTGGAGGCAGAGGTGGCTATGGGCTTGATGGCCAAAACGTCCTTTGTTTGCTGGTATTGTTGTTCAGTTGCTGAGTCATGTCCGACTCTCTGCGACCCCATGGACTGCAGCATGCCAGGCTTCCCTGTACCTCACCATGTCCTGCAGCTTGCTCAAACTCATGTCCACTGAGTTGGTGATGCCATCCAACCATCTCATCCTCTGTCACCTCCTCCTCCTCCTGCCTTCAATCTTTCCCAGCAACAAGGTCTTTTCCAATAAGTCCATTCTTTGCATCAGGTGGTCAAAGTATTGGAGCTTCAGCTGCAACATCAATCCTTCCAATGAATATTTAGGTTCGATTTCCTTTTGGATTCACTGGCTTGATCTCCTTGATGTCCAAGGTGGGCAGGCAACATTCCTGATCCACACCACAGTCTGCTAGGTGCCTCCATGCTTTTGCTATATGACTTTGAACTTCTTTTAAAATTTTATGGGGAGCCAAATATTTCCTGTAAATTGACCCAACTGAATAGTCTTCTAAAGTCTTGAAGTCTTTTAAGCTGACATTACAGAGTAACACAGTTACTGTTGATATTAAAAGGTTGTCCAAACAGTAATTTTAAAAATTGCAAAAGGCAATGCAGGTGGAGAAACAAAGTCCAAGTAATTGGCAAACCTGTCCAAAGTTCAAAAATACTAGTTCTTTTTTTTTTTAACAATAGAGTCATCATTTGTTGCAATTCAACTGAACACATATTTGCCGTCTTCATAACCTGAGCTATTTTATGGAAATAGTGATAACTGATCTAATCTATAACCAGGGGGAAAACATTTAGGAAGTTCAGTCATCAAACTTTTGCATAAGAAAAATGGAATCTTACAACAAATACAATAAAATAAAGGCAAGCAAATCTGACACTTGTTTGTATTACACCCCACATGTGATCAAATCAGGGAAAATAGATATACCTATTTATCAAACACATGTCACTATTTCACAGAGTTACCTTGATTGTACATACATATAAACCTGGATTTGTATGTATGTCTCTGGTTAAAATGATATTCCCAAAGTTTCATTGATGTGTTTTTGATGACTAAATGCTTCCTCAACACATACTTGCATTCCTTTCTCTTCTCTTTAATGGTGGGAATCTGTACATCCAGAACAAATAATGTCTTTATAATATAAATTTATCTTCTAGAATGTCTTTAAAAAGCCCTCCACTGACATACAGGGCTAGAAACACAAACAGACCCTTGAAATATTCAGTCACCCTTTCCCCTGTGAGGAAAACATTATTTTCAACTGGAAACAGAAAAATGGCAGCAACATAAGAGATGCCAGTTGGATCCCTGGGTCAGGAAGATCCCTTGGAGAAAGGAAATGGCAACCCATTCCACTGCTCCTGCCTGGGAAATCCCATGGACAGAGGAGCCTGGCAGGCTGCAGTCCATGGGGCTGCAAAGAGTCAGACATGCAAACACCAGGTGTTAAATAAATATTTATTAAGTGAGCCTGTAAGTTGATCACATCCTTGAGCAGAAAGAATAATAAATGAGTAATAAATATTGACACAGTGTGTTTATATCTTCCAGACTTGTAAGGCCTTCCTTCCTGCCATGCTTGAAGCTAACCATGGTCACTTAGTCTGCATTTCAAGTGTAGCAGGAATGACCGGGATCAACGGTCTGTCGGGTGAGTGCTCCACCCATGACTTTGTATCTCCAGCTCACAGCACGCAGAAGTGAGGACTCTTCCAAGGCATGGAGAACTCTTCTGCACTAAGGGGAAGTCTCTAGTACATTTGGCTCTGTTTTTAACTCCAGGATTCCTTCCCATTTCCCAAATTTGAATCCCACACATAAGTGATATCGTATGGTACTAGTCTTTCTCTGTCTGGCTTACTTCACTTAGTATGACCATCTGTAGGTCCATTCATGTTGCTGCTCCCCTCCTCTATAAAAAATAACGGTGGGACTTCCCTGGTGGTGCAGTGGTTAAGAATCTTCCTTGCAATTCAGGGGATGTGGGTTGGCTCCCTGGTCAGGGAACTAAGATCCCACATGCCACGGAGCAGCTAAACCCATGTACTACAACTAGAGAGTCCACAAGAAAAGATCCTGCATGATGTAACTGGGACCTGGGGCAGCCAAATACATATATTTTAAAATAATAAAATCACTCTCTTCTTAATAAAAAATAACACAAAGAGAAAAAAAGAACCAATTGGCTTTGTAGTCTTCTTAGGTTAAGAGAAATTGAAATCATTTTCATTTTGTTGTTGGTATGCTGTATAGAGCTATAGGACTGGAGTGGCCACCAAAAAATGACTGTAACAGTGATGCTTTCCCTCGTAGCTTAGATGGTAAAGAATCCGCCTGCCATTGTAGGAGACTCATGTTTGATATCTGGGTCAGAAAGATCCCCTGGAGGAGGGCATGGCAACCCACTCCAGTATTCTTGCATGGAGAATCCCATGGACAGAGCAGCCTGGCAGACTACAGTCCATAGGGTGGCAAAGATTAGGACACAACTGAGTGACTAACACTTTCACTTTGCCCCCAGAATAAGCCAAAGAAAGGGAAGGGAGTTTCCATTTTAAAATATTTCCATGAATTAACTTGTCAAAGTCTGCTGCTAACAGCTCCTCACTCTGTTGCAGATTACTGTGCCAGCAAGTTTGCAGCTTATGGCTTTGCGGAGTCTCTCCACTTTGAATTAACACTATTACAAAAAACTAATATTAAAACCACCATTGTTTGCCCATATTTTATCCAAACTGGAATGTTTGAGGGCTGTTCAACCAAGTAAGTGAAATCTTACAGTAATCTTCGCTCTTATGATAATCTTCCAATATAGATAATTACCATCTTTCATTTTGAAGTTTTGAAATATGAAAAGTAAAACAAAAGACATCAGTTGAATGCCTGAGTTAGTCAAAGAAAACATTCAACCTGCATTAAATTAATGAGTTTACACCATTTAAGGATAATAATGGTAAATTATTGTGAAAACATAAACCTAAATTGCTAATCAGAATATTACAATGTAAGAGGAAAGTTGGTAGTGAGAAGTTATTAAAATCTTTAGCATTGTTGTGTTAAGCAGGTAACTTCTTTTCTAAAAGAATACTGAAGTAAAAATCATCCAAAAGATAAAATATTTTGAAAGATTGACTAATATATGTGGGGGAATATTGTAGGATGATATAAGTTTATATTTGGTAGAATAGACCAAAGAAGAAACAAGTGAAATACGAAGACTTTTATACAAAGAAGTCAATCAGTAGAGTATATTAAGAAATATAGACATGGTCTGGGCCAGTGCAGTCATTACAATAGCTAAAAAGAGGCTTGACAGGAACCAAATGCTATGAATCAGCAATATCTGTAGGAAAGAGAGACAGCCAACAAAAAGCCTGTCTAAAAATCAGTGAGGCTATTTAGAATCTAGGGAAATCATAAAATAAATTAAAAGTGTCAAAACAGGTGATGGAGTTGACAGGACAGCAGGGAAAAAACTCTAACAAAGAAACATCTATCATGCAAGTCAAAATTAGCAAAGACAATCATTTAAAATCTTTGGAGATTGACCAAAGAGCAGGCAATCCATTGAAAAGTATTTATTTAATAAAACCTACAGAAATTCGGTAAGAACTCTGAGAGGCCTTGGCATTGGAACCAGGAACTACACTCATCCTCCAGGCAACAGCTCTGCCTTGCAGAACAACTGTTTCAGGGGCTTGGCAAACCAGTGGTAATTCCCATGTCCCCCAGTCTGGAGGGGCTTACCAGGTGGCTCGGCGGTAAGGAACCCGCCTGCCAATGCAAGAGCCACAGGAGACTCGAGTTTGATCCCTGGGTCGGGAAGATCCTCTGGAGGAGGAAGTGCAACCCACTCCAGTGTTCTTGCCTGGGGAATCCCATGGACTAAAGGAACCTGGCGGGCTACAGTCTGTAGGGTCACAAAAAGCAACTGAGTATGCAGCATGCACTCACACACACCAGTCCCCGGAGAGGGAGAACCCCTCTGGGTGGTTTGGCAGCAGGTGAATACTGAAAGATCCCAATTTCCATGGAGGGCCTATAATGAAAGGATAAACTCAGTCAGACAGTGTTTATTCCTCCACCTCCACGACAGGAAAGACCTGGGGAGAGGCTATTGTTGAAGAAAGCAATCCTGCTTTCCACAGCTCTTTGTTGTTGGAGCAGCAGTCTTGTGGCAAAAGACCTATGTGTGGTAGGCTTACCCGACAGTAAAAATCAGCAGAGCCCAAGCCCCAGGTTCTGGGTGCTGGAAGATCCATACAGGCTGGTAACAGCAGCTGGGGGGCAGCATTACTTCCCACCATTCCCCCAGACTCTGTTTGATAGCTAAGGTGAGAACTCCAGTGAAGAGTCATTTTCTCATCACCCATCTCCTGCTTCATAACAGAGGTTCTGACAGACAAGGTCACAGTCAGCAGCAAAGACTGACATCTCTCTCCCTCTGCCATTGGATAAAACCATAAATCAGAGCATCTTCAAAAAACAAAAAAAATAGCACCACCAGCTAGCAAACTACAGCATAAGAGGTAGATAGGATACAGATAGAGACAGACTAGCTAGAGGCTTAAGAGAAAGAGGCAGTCAAAGATTGCCTAGGTAAAACCACAGTTTCCCTGGATGGAGCCCTTCAAGGAATGACATCAGAAGCCACACCTTGGAGGAGAGATAGACCTCATGGAACTAGTTTCAGCCAAGTGACTAAGGAAATAAACAAGCAAACAGTCACAGAGGACAGTTATCCAGAGTTGCTACCATATATCATCTAAAATGTTCAGTTTTTAATAAAAAGTATGATATACAAATACACAGAAAAGTGTGACCCATACATGAGAAAAACCCACAGGCAATGGAAATTGCTTTGAAAAGGACCCAGATGTTGGACTTAGCAGACAAACTTCAAAGCAGCTATTTTAAATCCATTCAAAGAGCTAAAGAAATCCATATTTTTAGAATGGAGATGTTTCATCAAATATTAATAAATAAATATAGATCTTTTAAGAAGCAAATGTAAATTTGGGATTGGAAAAGAAGAATAAATGAAAGGGAAGATGCACTAGAGCAGCTCAACAGTATATTTCGGCTGGCAGAATAAGAAAAAAAGTGAACCTCAAGACAAATGAACAGAGAATATGCAACCAGAAGGAAGAGAGAACATAAATGGAAAAAAAGGAACAGATCCTCAGAGAAAGCTGGGATACCTTTAATCACATCAACATATACACAAGGAGAGTAACAAAGAAATAAGAGAAAAGACCAGAAAAAGCATTTAAAGAAATGGATGGCTGAAAACCTCCCAAATTTAATGAAAAACATTAATTTACATATAAATGACTACCCACTCCAGTATTCTTGCCTGGAAAATCTCATGGACAGAGGAGCCTGCCAGGCTACAGCCAATGGAGTTGCAAAGAGTTAGACACAACTAAGTGATTGAACACACACACACAAAATAAAATTTTTGAGGAGGTGTGGTTCAAGAAACACAGAAGCATAATATAAAAGTATAAAATGTCAAAGTAATGTCTAATGGGAGCTTCAATACATGTTCATCCCATTTCAACTCCAATTGATTTTGCAAACATCTGAGTTTGCTTACTGTAGTAACAATAGTGTGCTTAAAATAAAGCCACATTATACATGCTCAGGAGCTCTTTCCTTTCGGTGAAATAATTCTGCAGTTCCACTTCTTAATAGTATACAACTATGTGATGTTTGGGCTGAAAGAGAGAAAAGAAAAAAATCTCAAAGCACTTCCTTCCATAGATCTAGACCATCACAGAGGAGAAAATCAATAAATGCCAGGAATTCACTCCAGGAAATGAAATACGTTAGCTTTTGTTTGCTCGCTAAGTCATATCTGACTCTTGTGACCCCACAGACTGTAGTCCACTGGGCTGGTCCATCCATTACATCTCCCAGGCAAGAATACTGTAATGAGTGGCCATTTCCTTATCCAGGGGATCTTTGACACCCAGGAATTGAACACACAACTCCTGGGGCTCCTGCATTGCTGGCGGACTCTTTGCCACTGAGCCACCGGGGAAGCTGGAAATGTGTTAGCACTGGTCCCAATATGATCACGAGAGAAAACACAAGGCTTTTTCTAATATTTACACATGATTTGCATATTTATAGACATATGTTGATGTCTTGATATCTAAAATTTAATGACTAGTGCTCACCATGACAGCCAAAAAATACCGCTTTAACAATATAACTTTTTGTGATTTTTTTATTCCAGGTATCCACTTTTGTTGCCCTTCCTGAAACAGGAGTATGCTGCCCAAAGTATTTTAAATGCTATTTTAGAGGAGCAGTTGTACTTGATAATACCCAAATCCTTGAATATTGCATTGTTCCTGAAACAGTAAGTGAATAACGACTTCTCTATCATTTTGGTTGTTTGTGAACAAATTGCTCTCATCATTGCTACCTCTTTTACCAGAAAGCAACCTCGTATCTTAAGGTTGAAGGAAGAATAATATCTAAATAATGCCAGGGCAATTTATTGGACTATTTCTAGCTGTGCTTGGTTATTCCAGACATTGAGAAAATTCAGAAACGGTTGGTTCTTACAGAGTGCTAAGTGCTAAGTTGCTCCAGTCATATCTGACTGTTTATAACCACACAGATATAGCCTGCCAGTCTCCTCTGTCCATGGGATTTTCCAGGCAAGAATTCTGGGGTGAGTTGCCATTCCCTTCTCCAGGGGAATCTTCCTGACCCAGGGACCAAACACACATCTCTTATGTCTGCACTGGCAGGTGGATTCTTTACCACTAGCGCCACCTGGGAAGCCCTCTTAGAGAAAAAAAATTATTAACAAATAGAAACCCCAATTACAGGAGGTGAATTCTATCAGTTCAGCTGACATAAAATTCTATTTTGAAAACAAAGAACCAATAAACCCGAGTGCATTGCCAGAAAAATGTTAAGGATTTTTGGCAAGTTCCTCACTTCCTCTGGTGAAAGAAGACCTGCAACTTCATGCTGAAAGTTCCAGAGTCTTGTGAGTGCATTTAGGCCAGGCCCACTATCTTCTCTGAAAAGAACAGAGAACAATGTGTAAGTTTCATGAAGTGTCTACCTGGGCCGTACTCTGCATGACAGCCTTACGCGGTTTATCACACTTGGAGTAACTGAGGCTTAAAGAGAGTAAGTCATTTTTGCAGGATTAAACAGCTAATGGGACTTCCGTGGTGGCTCAGATGGTAAAGAATCTGCCTGCAATGCAGGAGACCCGGGTTCAATCCCTAGGTCAGGATGATCTCCTGAAGAAGAGTATGCAACCCACTCCCAGTATTCTTGCTGGAGAATCCTATGGATAGGGGAGCCCTCAAGCTCCAGTTCAAGAGGTCACAAAGAGCTGGACACGACTGAACAACCAACACACACTTTGTGGCCTGAGCACTGGGACTGTTCGAAGCTCCACAGACAGCATTCAGTTTCCATGATGCAACATTTCCGCGTTCGTCCCTCTCAGCAGTGACACCCACACAGTGTGAGGCATGAGAATTCACACATAATCTTTACAAAGATATTTCTCTTTTGTTTTTTATTTATTTGTTTGGGCGCACTGTGTGTTATGCGGGATCTTAGTTCCCCCGCCAGGGATGGAACCCAGGCCTCCTACAGCAGAAGCCCAGAGCCCTAACCATTGTACCGCCAGGGAATTCCCTGATGATGTCTCTTAGACTCCTTCTAAAGCATTCTGAATTTTTTTCCTCTGCTTTTTTCTAGAGTAATATCTCCAAACATGTTGATGACCTTGGCTGAGTACCTTGGAATGGACATTGCCCTGGCTTCATTCATAGAGCGAGAGAAACCAGGGGAAGTTCAGACCCAAACCGAGAGGGAACAACAGTAGCCAAAGTTCCAGATGTGGTAAAAGTGTCATGAGGAGCTGGAAGTCTTGTTCATGTTCAGAGCACTCCAGACTTCCAGCAATGACCGAGGCTTCCAGAAGTGCTCACCGGGACATAGCTGACACTCTCACAATCTCCCTAGGCATTCACATTACATACTCAACAGTTTCCTGTCATTTTTAGTTTGATTAAAAAAAAAAAAAACACTGCAGCCATTCCAATGTCAGAGAACTCAGAGAATACAGTGTATTAATAAAAATATATTGATGCAAATTAGCCTTAATTTAATTTTTAAATAGAGTAGATGATACTTTTAGAAAAAGAGTAACTATAAATAGACTTTAAAAATTGCAGTTTTAGGCTGATAATTTTTCAACATTATATGTAAAGAAAATTTTTAGTACAGCAGTTAAGAAAAATAACACTTTTCTGTGTGCCTATTAATTCCTACTGGAGCTGGCTGACCATATCAAGATCCTTAGTGGGGCACTGAATCTGTTTATTCAATAAAATAAGTCCACAACTAATCATGTTTGTTTGTATCTGAATATGCCTATAATTCTTAGCTTCTTTATATGTTATGATGTTTCCAGGTGGCACTAGTGGTAAAGAACCCATCTGCCAATGCAGGAGACATAAGAGGCTTAGGTTCAATCCCTGGGTCAGGAAGATCCCCTGCAGAAGGGCACGGCAACCCATTCCATGTAGCCCTGGCAGGCTATAGTCCATAGGGTCACAAAGAGTCAGACACGACTGAAGTGACTTAGCACACAGCACGCACATGTGCTCAGTCATGTCTGACTCTTGCGACCCTGTGAACTGTAGCTTGCCAGGCTCCTCTGCCCATGGGTTTCTCCAGACCAGAATACTGGAGTGGGTTGCCATTTCCTTCTCCAGGGGATCTTCCCGACCCAGGGATCGAACCTACATCTCCTGCATTGGCAGGCAGATTCTTTATCACTAGCACCAGCTAGGAAGCCCTCTCTTCTTTACTCCATAAGGAAAAAAAAGTACATATTAGACTCTGTACTGCTGGTTTGAAGAAGAGACTTATTTTTATAATTCAGTCAATAAATTAGCCTTAACTGTGATGGGTTTGCATATACTACATGAGCCACTCCTGTTAAAAATGTATATACTAATTCACATGTGCACCTCACCTGACAGCCCCAGCAAACACTCCTAAGTGACTCTGTGAGTTTGGAAATGTACTTGAGCTGAATCACAGGACAGAAACATAGCTTTGTCTCTAACAGGTCAAGAGCTAGTGCTTACAGCAAAACCAAAAAAAAAAAAAAAAGAAAGAAATATCAAGTATATATTTCCCTCATAGCTCAGTTGGTAAAAATCTGCCTGCAATGCAGAAGACCCCAGTTTGACTCCTGGGTCAGGAAGATCCACTAGTGAAGGGACAGGCTACTCACTCCAGTATTCTTGGGCTTCTCTGGTGGCTCAGCTGGTAAAGAATTCACCCGCAATGTGGGAGACCTGGGTTGGGAAGATCCCCTGAAAAAAGGAAAGGCTACCCACTCCAGTATTAGGGCCTGGAAAACTCCATGGACTCTATAGTCCATGGGGTCACAAAGAGTCTGACATAACTGAGCGACTTTCACTTTTATTTGCTAACCAAAAAGTGAGCATTCAATATATAAAATCTATCCTATTATTTGGGGCTTCCAAGGTGGCATTAGTGGTAAAGAATCCCTGAGTGGATTTGATCTCTGAGTGGGGAAGACCCCCTGGAGGAGGGAATGCCAACCCACTCCAGTATTCTCACCTGGAGAATCCCATGGGCAGAGGATCCTAGCGGGTGACAGACCATAGGGTCGAGAAGAGTCAGACACGACTGAAGAGACTTAGTATGCATGCACATCCTGTTCTTTGGAACATAGTATTGCTACATTTATGCAAAGAAAGTTTAATTTGCAATAAACTAGAGGAACTTTTTGAAATAAAAGAGGAATAAAAATTCCAAAATGCAATAATTTTCAGGAAATGACTTAGCTTTTAACAGTTCTGTAGGTAAAAATCTTTATAAACATTTGACATTTCTCTGGCTTCTTAAACCAAGTATTCAAACGACTATATACATTTTTTAAATTTTTCATAAATTTCCATTAATTTTCCTTAATGCCTAAGGAGAATTAGCATATTTCTGTCTATCTGGGTTGACCGCCTGGAGTGGCTTTTTAATGGCCATTTATCTCTAAGTTAACTAGTCCCCACACCCCTGCTGGGCATCACCTTCCACTTCACTCAGCCAGGAGGGGTCCTGCTACTTCTAATCGGGCCCCTCTTATTTTCAGTTGTCAGGCTTCAGGATGGTCTTTTATGCGTTCACTTGTTCATTTGTTCTGCCTCGTTTGCTGAGTACCTACTCTGTGCAGCAAGCTTCCCCAGTGGCGCAGTGGTAAAGAACCCGACTGCCAGTGCGGGAGACACAAATTCAATCCCTGGAGAAGAAAACGGCAACTCACCCCAGTATTCCTGCCTGGAAAATTCCGTGGACAGAGAAGCCTGGAGGGCTACAGTCCATGGGGTCACAAAGAGCCAGACGTGATTGAGCACACACACATACCCCACACACATTCTGTGTGGCACTGGAAACACAGCCGCAGATAAGGCAGTCACTTAGGGATGAGATCTCTGTGACAACTTTCAGCCACACAGGGGCTTCGGTTTTGTTTGGTCTTGCCTGTTTCCTAGTTAATGTTGTCGGAAATCTAGCTTCTCATCTTGTAGGTTGACAAGGTTCAGAAACTGCAGAGTCTGTTTCTCTGTGCTCTTTCATTTGGGTTGTGGCTAAATGCTAACCTATGCTAACAGTCTTCAAGAGACTGTTCCCTGAGGTTGACATCCTAGCTCTGTTCCCCTGGTAACCTGGTTAAGAGTCAATTGTCATATATGTTTCTCATCAATGTTGCTTATGAGGAAAATGATCACCGATTGGTAACTTGCAGCAGGCTGAGAGGAGCTGTGAAGGCATCCTCAGGGTGTGATGGGGAGGGATGACTTCCTGAGGCTGAGTAGGGGAATCTGGTACGTGGGATGCTGTAGGCAGTGCCCATGTCGGCTCTGTGGGGCAAAGACCTTGTCAAGTCCTGCACTCGCCCTGTCTGCATCTCCCTACCCCGGAGCTGGCCCCACAAGAAGATTACTGACGTCTGTGCTCAAGGCTGTCTGGACTGGGGGACTGCCACCCCTTTCCCACTCCTCCTCTCAGCCTCAGAGTGGACCCCTGTCCCCTGAGTCTGGAGGTGGAGTTGAAACTAAAAGATTCCCTGGGGATGTGGGGGGTGCGGCAGGCCCTGAACTTTCTCTTCCTATTTCAGTGCTTTCTGAAACATGAGAATATATAACAATTGTTCATGTAACTATGTTCCACATTTTCACATAGAGCAATGAAATCTGCCCAGTGGAAGCAACAAAACTGAATTGATTATTGACTCTGAAATTTGGTCACATCTATTATTTCCTTCCACCAAATTATCAAAAATTGCAGTTACCCTAGCCCTTTTCACTTCATGGGGATGTTTTGGGAAGTGAAGATTCATGTAAGCATGTCACCCCCTTCTGATGTCTGTGTCAGAAGCTTTCTCTATCTCTTTTATAATTTAATAAAACTTTATTACACAAAAACTCTGAGCTATCAAGCCTCATCACTGACCTCAGATTGAACTCTTCTCCTCTGGAGGCCAAGAATTCTGTCATTTTCTATGGTTCAGCAGCAGCCTTTCATGTTGGGGGCTCGTCCAGGATTCTTCAGGACAAGGTAAGGATGCTTGGAGCTCTAGTTCTTTGTTCTCCTAGCAAACATGTTTTCTGCTGTACTTTACTAACTCCACAGTGTGCTTGTGTGAATGAATGACACTCCCTGCAAGTGAGGGAAGCAAGTGAGGAGCCCTGCTCTGCGGTTCCACGGTTACCTCATAGGGCTTATGGCAGAAATTCTGACAGGGGTTTATACCAACTTGCCAATGGACTTCCCTGGTGGCTCAGATGGTAAAGCATCTGCCTACAATACAGGAGACCCGGGTTCAACCCCTGGGTTGGGAAGATCTCTTGGAGAAGGAAACGGCAACCCACTCCAGTATTCTTGCCTGGAAAATCCCATGGACAGAGGAACCTGGTAGGCTACAGTCCATGGGGTTGCAAAGAGTTGGACATGACTGAGCACTTTCTTTCTTTGAGGTGAAGATTCATTTTTGCAACAGGAAAATATTATAATTGATAGTTACTCTCTCCTTGCAAAGTGAAAGTCGCTCAGTCATCTGAGACTCCATGAATTGTAGCCTGCCAGGCTCCTCTGTCCATGGGACTCTCCAAATAGAATACTGGAATGGGTTGCCTGCCCTTCTCCAGGGATCTTCTCAACCCAGGGATCGAACCCAGGTCTCCAGCATTACAGGCAGATTCTTTTTTGTTTAATTTCTTTATTTATTTTAATTGGAGGCTAATTACTTTACAATATTGTGGTGGGTTTTGCCATACATTGACATGAATCAGTCATGGGTATACATGTGTCCCCCCCGTCCTGAACCCCCCTCCCACCTCCTTCCCCACCCCAATCCTCTGGGTTGTCCCAGTGNGTCGGAGAGTGTTTTGCCTATGTTTTCCTCTAGGAGTTTTATAGTTTCTGGTCTTACATTTAGATCTTTAATCCATTTTGAGTTTATTTTTGTGTATGGTGTTAGAAAGTGTTCTAGCTTCATTCTTTTACAGGTGGTTGACCAGTTTACCCAGCACCACTAATAAAGAGATTGTCTTTTCTCCATTGTATATTTTTGCCTCCTTTGTCAAAGATAAGGTGTCCATAGGTGCATGGATTCATCTCTGGGCTATCTATTTTGTTCCATTGATCTATATTTCTATCTTTGTGCCATGAAGGTAGATTTTCTACCATCTGAGCCATCAAGGAAGAAAAGTTTTCCTAATCCAAGGCAATAAAAATAGTTACGTTAAAATGTTAAAAATGAAAACAGTGTTAATTATGAATTAGCCATTTTTAAATTAAATGCTTGGGGCTTCCCAGGTGGCACCAGTGGTAAAGAACCCACCTGCCAATGCAAGAGAAATAGGAGAAACAAGTTTGATCCCTGGGTTCAAAGTTCCCCTGGAGGAGGACATGGCAACCCACTCCAGTATTCTTGCCTGGAGAATCCCATGGACAGAGGAGCCTGGCGGGCTACAGACCACAGGGTTGCAAAGAGTCGGGCATGACTGAAGTGATTCAGCACAGCACAGATTAAATGCTTGAGAAAATTTACAGGCTGAAGAGATGGAAGTTTTGATACTCTAAAATAGATGGCTAGAATCCTCCATGGGTTTGGAAAATGAGAGCATTTTCTTTTGCATAAGTTCATTTTTTAAAGTAGCCATTTATTCTCCTTGATATTGGAAAGGAGGTAGACTTTGACTTAACAAAGAACTTTCTAATAATAACAGCGGATTGAGATAAAAATGACTTCAGTGTGACTCCTGAAAATGGAGTTTTCCATTTCTGAAAATCAGAGGAAGTTAATGACTA